GCCGTCGAGCGCCGCGCCGGTGCCGCCCTTGACAACGGACGCAGGCTGCTGTTTTGAAATATCCCCTTTCGTCATCTTTCTACTAGAGCCCACTAAAAAAAAAAAAATTTAAAGACTTGTTTTCCCGATGTTAGTTTCTGGCTACTGTATCCAGAAGTTCAAAGGTGACCGCCTCAGTTAAAAGGAAAGGTTACACTGGGCGAGCCGCTGGTCGGAGACCTACGCCCCGCGCGCACGGGGCCTGCACCGGTGGGGGTTTGACCCAGGCGCTCGCCCGGTAGCCCTGGTTCTCACCTTCTCCAGCTGAAGGACTAAGTAACCTCCAGCGTCCCTTTCAGCCTCAAAAGTACACGAATCGCCTGTGTCCACAGCCCTGCTTGCCCTTCCCAGCAGGACTGCACCTGGAGGAGGGCACCACGCACAGCCTTGTCACCTGTCACTAGTCCATGGAACTTCTCGGTTTGAGCGTAAAGACAAACATCTCCAGAGATGAGTTTCTGGGGAAATGCCTCGATACGTCAAGGAGCTGGCTGAATCGCTCTTTCTAACACTGGACTCCTACGAGGTAGGGGGACAGAAGGGCAGGGAAAGGAAGGAAGCGATCCAGAGAGAACCTGCCATACAAGGTTCAAAGAAGCCGACACCGCGGGTGGGGGTGGGGTGGAAGGCCAGGAACCGCTGACCAGGGGCGCGGGACGGCTGCGGGACGGCTGCGGGACGGCCGCGGGGGCCGCGTCGGCCTCCACTAGGTCTTGGGATTGCTGATGAAAACCCTCGATCCAGCCGGTCTGCTCGCCTCTCCCGTGCTTCGTGAAGTCGCAGTTTGGGGTTTCTCTTTTTTTTTTAGACTCGGGCCCCATTTCATTCTCGGGTGACTGCAGGCGCAGGGGAGCGCCCGCGGAAGGAAGGCCGCAGAGCCGGCGAGGCCCTGAGCGCAGCGCCCCCCGGGGACTCCGTATGGGGAAGGCTCTGGACCAGGAGCAGCCTCCTCGGGGGCAGAGGATCTGTGTAAATTGTTTAGAATTCCCATCACATTTGTCTCTCCTCCCCCGTTTATTTATTCAAGCATTTATTTACAGCATTGTGGGCTCACGGATGTTTATTTTATACTTCGGTTACTTTGTTTTGTTGAGCAGATTGTTCCAGTTTTGGCTACTGGGAGCTTTTCCAGTTGGCTTCTGTGTCCCTTTGACATACTCCCATTACTCTGCACTTTTTATTTTTATGGTTTTTTTTTAGAACTTCCTTACACTCTGGCACTACAAGGCGCTGAAAGCTATGGTGTATATTTCTGACCCCTCCCAGGAGCCCTGGTTCCTTTTATTGGAGAATGGCATTAGAAACCAATCTGGGGCCTGGGTGCACTCATTGCTACTAGGGTATCACTGCTTACATGACCTCCCTGGCAGTGATTTTTAAATTTAAGTTCATTCCATACTGTGCACTGGGGTAAAAACTGTTGGATTTGTTGTAGCTATTATTTTACAGTCTAGTATTAATTACACTTTAGCTTCATCCATCCATGGCCTGCACAAAAATTGTTTTGACAGCGAATGCATTTCTGATGGCTCTGCTGGGCTGGGCTGTCAGCTACGGTTCCCCAAAGTTGTCATGACAGCTTGGAACTGAACATTATTTTTAATTAATTGAAAATTTTTATGTGGCCAGCTAGATTCTAGTCTTTCTCCTCCCTTCTCTCACCACACACATCCCTCCATGTACACCTCCAGCGTAGAGAAATGGGGCTTGTTTTGATGCTGAGAAGACTGCAGTCGAGGATGTAGCTGTTAGTTGTTCTGTATTGCCACTTAACATCAGTCATGGTTCAGGATGCCAACGAAATAGTTTCGATAGTTGCATGTCATAGTTTGGATCTCCCTAGGTTTCACATCTGTAAAGGAAGAGCACTGCTATTGCTTCAGACCATCTAATTAGAGGGAGCCAGATAGCACACTGGTACCATAAGCCTAAATGGGACAAACTGTAAGTAGTGAACTTAGCATGCTTCTTGGACAAGATTCTCGAATGGATTATTAAAAGCACATTTCCACAATACTATGAAACAGAAGTGTTACTCAGGATGAGGAACTTTTCAATTATGCTGAATTTTTTATAGGATGATAGCTATGGTACAGATGTTTTCTCACAACAGTCTTGTGAATAAGAGAAATGGGGCAGAATGTCAACAAATTAGGTTGGTTTATACATATTTCAGTGCCTGTAGCCAAATACCAATGATTCATGTGTCACTGATAGGACTTTAGGAGTGGGCCTAAGCACTCCAATCCATTTAACCTATTTCCTAACCAACAGGATGAGAGTATAGAAAGTATGCGAGGCAATTCTGGAAATACTTTGCTTCTCAAGAAAAGATTTAGAGGGGATTGTTCATTCTTTCCTATACTGAAATAAAATGTGTCTTCTTAGAACAAGGATGGACCTACAGTAAGGACCAAAACCACCTGCCTTAAGTCAGTTGGGAAGTATGGCTTAGGAGTATCATGTATGGAAACTTAAAGAGTTTAAGTTCAATAGTCAGCAGTCTAACTGGACAAATGTCAGAATTATTAAACTAAGACAGCATTACAAAAGGATACTGTACCCAAAATCAGGATAAGATTTCCATCACATTCTCAAGTGAGGCAGACACCAACTGGAAAAGTGTTCATTTTGGAAGTAATACTTTAAAGCTGGCCTTTGGAAATTGGAGTATTTTTATTCAAATTTTTTAAAAAATTTATCTTCATTTTCAGGGAGAGGGAGGGAGAGGGAGAGACATAGAAACATCAATGATGAGAGAGTCATCTTGACCGGCTGCCTCCTGCACACCCCCAACTGAGGATCAAGCCCACAACCCGGGCATGTGCCCTGACCAGGAATCAAACTGTGATCTCCTGGATCCTAGGTTGATGCTCAACCGCTGAGCCACACCTGGCTGGGCAATAGGAGTATTTTTAAAAGGCAAACAAGATTGTGATTTAGTTCAGTTCAGTTTGCACTAAGTCAGTGCTTACTATGGACCAGATATAGTATTAAATATTGTCAATACAACACTAAGACATGGGCTTTGCTCTTCAGCATGTGGTCCAGTAGAGGGAGACAGGCTGCTTACCACCCTGCTCTAAGCACAATATAAGCTCTGCACAATGGGCTTTAGAAAGAGTACAATTTCACTCAGATTGTCAGAGACCAAGGAAGGCTTTCTTGAGAAAATGACACCTAAAAGGAGTCCAGAAGGGTAAGCAGGATCTAGCCAAGTAGGGCAAGAAAGGCTGGGAAGGAATCCTTGCCCATAAGAAACCACTGAAGGGATTGAGAAGTTTTACCCCAAAGTAGCTACAATATGTGATTTTGAATATGAGAGGAATTTTTGAATGAGAGGTATTAAAATTTTTTTGTGGCTCTCGAAAAAAGAAGATAAATGGAAGCCTATTTCAATTCAGTATATGAAAACTCATTTATTTAGTGAAATCTTGTGATAAAGTACTCCAACATAATGCAAATTCAATAAATGGATTGGTGATGGGCTTTGTTTCATAGCAGTTTCACATGATCATTATTAACCCACAATAACATGATTCTTTTTTTTTTTTTACAGGACGATTGTGAGTCCCACTCACATACACATCATGGCTGGATCAGCTAGTGCTGTCCAAATAAGGATAAGCTGCATAGAATGTTTTCAAATATGTGGATGAGAATTTGTTGGGAATGCTGTGGAAGGGAGATTAGATTTAGGTTGGAGACGCCCCCCAAGTGCCTTCCACCTCTGAGATCCTGCAGCCTTCAAAAAAACTATTTGATAGTTGCATGAATAAAGGCAGTGACAATGAGCAAACTCATATATTAAGGTTTCACTTACAGTACATAAAGCTTATGTTTGTTATTAAATGTATTGAATGTAGCACTATTCAAATGAACTTTCTTTTACATATGGTTTTAAGTACCCTTAAAGCAAAGCAAAGCTTCAAAATTAAAACTGTTTCCAGTCCAAGCAAAGCAAAGCTTCAAACTTGAAACTATTTCTAGTCCAAGCAAAGCAAAGCTTCAAACTTGAAACTGTTTCCAGTGCAAGCTAATATTCTACGCCTAGATGTCTGGCTCCTTCCCTCTACCGTTACTATAATGGCCAAGGGAAATTATGTATGTCGCTGCTGGAAACTGAGAAGGGTGCTAACATGTATGAAACCTTCAAACTTTTCAGCAGCATATAATGCAGATGAAAGTGGAGGCAGAACATGGAAAATATGCCACGAGGGAGCTAGGGTCTTCAACTCAGAGCAAGAATGTTAGCCCACTAACTATAATGGGAGGGTGCTTGTACTGGATGAAGAGGGCCACTGTAGCTTAGGCTGCAGCAAGACAGTCATACAAATGGAAATATGAAGTCAAAGGAAAATTGATAGCTATGTTTATATGACTGAACCCGTGTGTTTACTGGTAGGGAATGTACATCTACAAATATGTATATTTCATTTTCACAAAATAAATTATACAAACTGGTGGATAAAAAGGATATGAAAGACTTAATTGTCTGAGGTTATAAGTACTTAAAATTTTCTTTTGACTATTTGTTTTTCTGTAATTACTTTTGTAATAACAGAAAGTCTTAAAAATTGATCCCAGCAATAAAATTATAAACAGATTAAAAATTCCTATCAGCAACATTTTCTTTCTGATTCTTTGGAATTCAAAGTTACTATCTTTAATAAGACATTTTTGAGCAAAATGTGTATAAAAATGCAGATGCACATAAGTATTCCATTTTTAAATACTGACAAAGAAACAGAAACAAAAAACCCTAAGATAAGGTAGCAAAATAAAAAATTTGAAAATATCAGGAAAAAAGCAAAATTTTACCATAATTACTATTAATGGAATTATAAAGTACATGAACACACTTCAATCATGCATTTAATCTAACTATGGAAAGACAATGTCATACTATTGTCTTAAAACACCACAGTAGGTAATAATAACCAACCTTTCAGATGAGGATTAAGGTGGCAAAATCCTTTCCTCTTCCCACACCAGCACCCTAGTCTCGGACACCTTCCCATTAAGTTTTAGTTTGGAAGTCGGCTCACTTATCAATGTCAAATTCTATTTTATTGCACAATGTCCAGTTCAGCAATTTTCAACTATACTATAAAACTAAACAAAAATTAAAAATCCTTAGGAAAAATGTATTTTTTTTTTTCCATTGGGTATAAGCAGCTGATAGAGTTCTGTTCAAACATACTCTAATAAAGGGACCTGTCAGAACATGTTCACCTCTGAAAAAATGTCAGGTTTTTGTTCTAAATTCTTTCTGGACAAGTTTATTAAAATTATTAAAGAAATAAAATGTGAATGGATTTGCAATAAAAAGAATAAACATTAGCACTGGCTAATGCCACATACCGTTGACAAAAAGGATAGGAACCCGTTGGTGATTTGCATCTTACAACATCAGAAATGAAGAGCAGCAACTGTCCAGGAGTGTTTGAAGGCAGTGTCTTCACCAACTCAAGGATCCCTCTGAAGCTGATGCTCTGCCACTCGTTCCAGTTCTTTTGCCATCAGTCCCCTATCAGATTCTGCAACTGTTTGGGGAATATCCAACTAACAAAATCCAAAACTGAGCACTGCCATTAGCCAGAGTTTACTGGTGCCACCCCTGAAATTTCACACTTTTTCAATACTAAAAATTTGCACAGAAGTTGGAATTTAAGGGCTAATTGTATGTTTTTACCTAAAATCTTATAATTACAATATTTTCATGAAAAAAGTTGTCTAGTAACATAAATTGCTTCTGCATCGGTTCCACAAACAAGACAAGGACCTAAAACGTCCAAACTGTTCACAGACAAAGTCCTGTTGGGAAGCAAACTTGTGATCTCAATTCGGTCTCTTGCAGGATCGGTGCTGAGCCAGGAGCTTATGAGAGATTGGTGAACGTTAGCCTGGTTACTAATGCTATGAGACAGAAAAGTACTATTTCTTCCTCCTGGGAGAAAAACAAAGGGGGGAGAAATCTTTCAGGACTTACTTTATATTAGTGAACATCCAAAATTCTACTGACATTTTTAACAGTTGACGACTTAAAACTTGTATAATTCTCAGAACAACAGCTGGTTGTTCCATTACTACACATCACCATTTTATTCGGTGACATTAAATACTCAAGTTTCCATGGGCTAACACACCTATCAAATTTGAAGTCTTCAGGCAAAGCAGATTTACTTTGACCCTGTCTCTCTGTTCATTCTTTAATGGAAAGTGCCAGAACTGTAGCAAAATGGCCAGAAGTGGAATAAATATGGGGAAAAATAAAATGAGACAACTTTCTTAAGATCTTTTTTTACCCTTTATTTTATAAATATGTTTTTATTGATTTTTAGAGAGAGAGGGAGAGGGATATAGAGATAGAAGCATCATTGATCGCCTGCCTCTTGCATGCCCTCTCCTGGGGATCCAGCCCAAAACGCCAGCATGTGCCCTGACCAGGAATCCGACCCATGCTCAACCGCTGAGCCTGGCAAAACTAAGTATTTTTTAATAGGCTGCACAGGTGGTGACTTTTTTATCCTTTCACAGTGTCTAACACTGTGCCTGCAAAACTAGACACAGAATACAGTAAATGGCTTTATTTCTAGCCTAACAAAGGTTCTTCAAACAGTAAAATTTCAAATGTTAGGTAGTAGGGGCAGAGGAGGAAGTAAGTAAAAACCAAGTGCTTAGTTATCCTTAGATAGAGTTATTATTTTCTCCATAAATGAAGTTAGTACAAACATGCTGCATGCTCTACATAATCCATACTTCTCTGCAATTTTTTCTGGAAAAGTTTTAGATTTCCCCTTGGTTTTTCATTTTACCACTCCTATATTTTACATTACATTTCAATACTGTGAAATTAACATTATTAGAACCACTGTGCTAATCTCCTACCTGGTCTCCCTGCCTCCACTTTTACCATTCCTCTCCCCATAGTCCATTTTCCATACAATAGCCACAGTGACACTGGCCGGTGTGGCTCAGTTGGTTGGAGCGTCGTCCCATACATGGAGAGGTTATGGGTTCAATCCCGGTCAGGGGACATGCCCAGGTTACAGGTTTGATCCCAGGTTGGGGTAGAGGCAACCGATCAATGTTTCTCTTTCTCTCTCTCCTGCCCCGCCCTCCCTTCCACTCTCTCTAAAGTATCAATGGAAAAAATATCCTTGAGTGAGAATTAAACAAAAAACAAACAAAAAGCCACTTTTACCCTGGTGAAAGAGTGATGATTTTTCAGGCATGTCTGTGGAGGCATCCCAATGCCACAGGGATCCATCTTCAGAGCAGGTAAATAGATGATCGGGGTTGGATGGGTGAAAGTGAACTTCCCACACTAAAAGACAAGAACCAAGAAGCTTATGCTGTGCAGATTAGTTGAACAAACATTAAAGCCCTATCTCTTCTAGGTACCATCTCCCATTAACCTCCATCACACACCTTCAAACCCCAAGTCTGTGATAAAAATCAAAGGCTTCAGAATTAAACCATATTATAACCCCCCAAAAGGCTATAACATGTAGCTAGGATAAAGAAGCCAAGTAAATCTACATGTATACTGGGCCAGCAAAAGAATGAAAATAAATGTTAATCATTTGAACTATTACATTTTTTTTTAAGGTAAAAGTATGGCAATGGGATAATTCTGGAAAAAAAAAAAACTTTTTAAAAATTAGTTTAAGTTCTCTTATTTTCAGTTCCTGTGTTATTAATATATGCAAGTTATATTATTGTAAAGACTTAAAGAGAAGACCATAAAAGTAATATACAAATGAAATTCTAGGAGGCAGAGTCCAATTTGGCTCATGCCAGGACTCTGGACACTTCTGTATCACAGAAGTAGCAACTAGCTCCTAGCAAAACAAAACCTGGAAATGCTCTAAGAATCTGGGGTCCAGTCTCAGATGGGGGGCTTTTAAGAAACCAATTTGGGATTGAGGACTCCTCAAGCTCTAAACTTTAAGGGAACACTGTGTGCCAATAGACATCTGGGAGCCAATGACTGGCCAGGGTGCCTTAGGAAGTTCTCTGCAGCATGCAGGTAAAACAAGTTGTCTGTGGACAAGGGCTCTGTGATTCTGGGTTAGATGACCTTAAAGAGGCAGCATAGAAAGTGCCCGGGGGGTAACATAAAAAATGCAAGGCACATGTCTGCAAGCTGGCAATTTTCATTCTGACACTTAACCACAATTAAACATCACGTGACAAAACAAAACAAAAATTACCTTCCTTAGCAGGAAGGGAATGTGTTCTGGGTGAGTCCCTGTATAAAGTGCATTCATACTGTTTCATTAAAACAAAGTGAAGCAAAGCAACCTCAAGAGCCACAAACAAATGCCCAAATCTAGATTCTTAGGTATTTATTTTCAAATTAGAAAACAAAGCTCTGTAAAACATCTTATTTCATTTCTAGCCAAAAGTCAGGATGAATTCAAGGTAATACATTAGAATCCATTACATTTGTGTTTACTGCATAACAATACAGTTAACAGGGGGCTGGTAAGAGGAGACCTGAAAGTTTGTAATTCTATTACCACCGGGTTAACCAACATCAGACTCTATGAGGGCATATCCTATTCCTTTGCATTCATTTATTTTCCTGGGCACAGCTATAAATTGGAGAGACAAAATTTTCTATGCTTTTATTTGCTTTACCTTACATATAAACTTAAAAGTCATTTATCTTTCCAAGGTAATAATGTGAAACTTATTGAACAGAAGTTGCAATACTGGTATAATGTTTGTCCTTTTGTACTTTTATTCAAGCATCAATACAAACTTAAGTCAGAATTTAAAACCATAATCCACTCTGTCATGACATCAAAGACAATGGTCATATAACGAAAAATTTCTGTCCAGCCCCGGGTGGCTGTTAATTGGAGTGTTGTTCCATACACCAAAAAGATTTCAGGTTTGATCCCCAGTCAGGGCGAGTAGGGAGACAACCAATTGATGTTTCTCTCTCTCTCCCCCTTCCTCTCTTTAAAATCTATAAAACATATATTTGGGTGAGATATAAAAAAAAAAATTCTGTCTAGCCAAAAAACCCCCCACCAATATCAGAAGACAAGCAAAAAGACAAAAACCAGTATCTACTGTTCCTGTTAAAAGAAAAAAGGCAAAATAGCAAATTGAAGAACACACAGATTGCAAATATTAAAAATAATAGCTTGTTTGCATGGGTAAAGGGCATTGTCACACATTGAGCATGGCCATATAAGCTGAAATTATTTTTATGTAGAACAATTTGACAGTTACCAGTTTTAAAATCTATGATGCAAGACGATCCATATGTACCATTATGGAGAGCTACTTACATCACATAACTCACCCAACAAAAAAGTATGTATCTCCGTAACACTTACTTTCAGCTTCATGAGCCTTCAGCAGAGACACAGGCATAGTACCTTGTCTAACATCCCAAATACTCAACATTCCATCCTGGCCACCAGTAGCTACAACATGCTGCTGGTTGGGATGTCTATCAACACAGTGGAGTGGCACTCGGTCACCAGACCTTTTATGGGAGATACAATAACATCAAGTATGTTGTAAAGTAGAGTTTATCTTTGCATAACCCATGAAACATGTTTCATTCTAGTAACTAAATGATAACTTTGTGGCTAGAGCTGCTGGCTGATTTTAAATCATGTCCAAAAACTGACTACATTAAATATACTTCTAAATATTAGAAAGGGGGGTGGGTAAGGCCAAAGTTATTCATTCTCTCTTCAATTTTGGAGGCATAGGGAGCAAGATAATCTGATGGCATGATGTGAAAAACACATTTCCATTTCTTGGCTTTTAAAAAACATTATAGCATACGCTGGTGTGGCTCATTTGGGTGGCGTGTCCTCCCGTACATCAATCGATCATGGGTTCCATTCCCAGTCAGGTTGTGGGTTCGATAAAAATCAGAAGTAATTCAATTCAGCTTTAATTTATCACTGTTTTCAAATAAGAAATATGATCCTTCCAGAAGAAAGGATATCTCTGAATCAAGACAGAAAATACCTACTAAATGTAGCATGGTAGTATCAAACCCATCAAACTGTACTTGCTTTATCAAATTTAAACAGGGATTATTCTTTTAAAATGCAATTAAAATATATTATGGTTTAAAGTCAATTGCTATAAATGATTGAACAAATTAATTTTGCACTATACTACTGAAATTACAAATCAAAACTTACAGTGATAATATCTGAGAGGGCTCATTTCCTTGTTGTCTGAAATCCCATATTTTTAACTGTCCAATTGAATTTACTGTAAGTATCTCAGGAGTTCGAAGGAAGGTTACCGCATGGAGTGTACTGCTATCTGCATTGTCTATAAATTAAGAAAACAGTAATGTGTGTTAATGGGTCCCCTGTGCCATGAAAATCTTAAATCATGTGGGGTTTTTCTAATTATTATTTTTTAATTTTTTAATCGTGTTCTTTTTATTGAAACATTACAAGTGAAATTTTAAATAGGTCACGCTTTAATCTCTATAAAAAACATACAGTAATATATGTGTTAAAATGAACTCTCCTATGATAGAAAAATGATATCACTCACAGGACACCTGAGCTGTTTTGCAAAGACAAGGCTGAGTTTTTACATATGTAGTTCTCTATTTCCACTGAAGATTGTTATTCCCCATTTCTGAGATACCCGCTCAAGCTCTTCTATATGCAATTTTATTTCTGAATAGTGCTTAACCCAGAACCTCCATTCATTCTATTGGGTCAAACCCCAGTGCTTCCTACAGAGCTCATTCTGACCTTGTATTATTCTGCTGACTCATCTCAAATTTATCCAGCCTTATCCTCACCAACTCTCTCCTCCATGAGTCCTTGAAGATTATTATAACGGTCCTTTCCTTCTTCCTACAGTGTTTAACTTAGACCATATAGTTTAGCATATACTTATAGACTTTTGTCACACTCCTGCAAACTACCACCAGGCAATGGTCCTTAAACAAGTGATGCTCCTCAGAACTAAAAATGATAATAAACGACATAAAAACTGATTCATAAGTTCAATCCATAGAGGTTCTGATTCAGGTCCAGGTTGGTGGGCTATTAAAAATCTCCTCAGGAAAGTCTTTGTGAAACATAGTTGAGAATTATTACACTACAATAATCCTTCTAAAGCACAACAGGAAGTACATCACTTGCTTACTCAAACTTTTCAGCGGCTCCTTAGCTGCCACCTAACAAAATGTAACCTCAATGGCTATGCATTAGACTCTTCACAACCTGGCCCCAATTTACCTTCTTTGCTTCATCTCTCACCTCTCTACATAAGTATCTAAAGTAAGGTCAAACTATACCTTCTGTCATTCTCTAAATGGCCTTACCCTGCCTCCACACTATTCCCTTTGTCAGGTGTGCCATCTTTTAGTTATTTGTGGTCTAGAACCTTGATTGAATTAATTGTCACCTGCCCCTCAATTCTTTATCCAATAACCCACACCAGCCAAATATCTTGATAAAGGGATTCTGCTTTGTATATTTTTATATCCTTCAAAAACCTAGCACTGTACCTACTTAAGCTATACCTACCTGCAAGGTAGGTGCTCAATTCCTATGTGGACCAAAAAAAAAAGATGATTTTTCTTACCTATAGTTCTCACAGCTTCCTTGTGATCAACTCTGAAGAGATTTATTCGACCATCTTCTCCAACTGTGACAATCTCTGGGCTGCTACACACAACACCTGTACATGGTGCACTGCTACAGGAAGGGCTGCCTGGACCCGAGTGGTAGTGAGCTGCTGTCCACTGCTGGCCAACTGACAGAGTCTAGGAGTCAGAAACAAGGATGCAATCAATCAAAGCAAAGTCCTAAAAACTAGCACTTTTCTCCAACTAAAGAGTGTTTTAAAATTCTCTTTCACACCCTTCTAGGAAATCACTCTCTCCTTTTTCCTTTATATTTCCAAATATGAAAGTCCAGAACCTACTTCCATCAAAGCTCTGTATACACTGGATTAGATTCTAAAGGAATATTGTTCAAAAATATCCCAAACTTATCTCATCTCAAACTAAAGAAATGGTTTTTAGGTATCAAGTAGTTGTATGTTCAAATCAACTTTAAATTCTTTAGGGAATTAGCCTACATCTAAGAAATAATTCTCTACAGTGCTTTCTAAATAACTCCATTAAGAAAAACAATAAAATCTTGGTCTGATATTTTCTAGGCATGCGTATAAGCAAGGTGACCTTTATTAATTCCAAAACCTAAGTAAGCACTCTCTTCTAGCAACTTAAACCTATTACAAGTGGGGCTATTGTAAAGGATCGCCCTTACCGCTACCCAGTGAAGGTCAGCACTCTTGGGCTTTGGCACACAAGAAAGCATTGAAAACATGTCAATGGTGATAGAAGGAGACTTGACTTGGGGAGGTGAACACACAATACAATGTACAAATGATGTACTGTGGAACTGTACCCCCTGAAACCTATATAATTTTATTAACCAACGTCACCTCAATAAACTCAATTTTAAAAAAAGAAAAAATGTCAAGTCTTCGTACAGAGTATTCTCTCTTCTAATTAAAAAGGAGGTTCTAGCCACAGAAGCAAAGTAGCCATTCCTGTCCTTTCTCATGATACCTGAGCTAGAAGGTGCTCTTTCTTCAAAACCAGAATAAGAACTTAAAGGAGAGAATTACAGAAAAATTACTTGCCAGAATACTATATTGTTAGGTCTAAACTAACAGAATTTAAGCGATATCCCAATTTCAATAGAAGTTCACACCAACATGGTTCTAGAATTAATCTATTAAAAGATGGGTAACATAACAATACTTTTCTCCTCCATGTTTTGAGACTATAAAATTTTATTATTTGTGTCATTATTAAGTACAGTCTTCTTGAAGCATTCCTAGAAATAATGAAAATACAAATTCAGTTTTCAAAAAAAATTTCTTTACCTGGTTATTTGGACGGTGAAGGAAAACTGTTACACATCCTGTTGATGAAGCAGCTACAATTCTTTCCTGGTCGAAAAACTAAGTAGAAAATTCCTGCTTGTTACAGATTCAGAAATAGTAGGGAGAAAGCCCATTTGTTTGACTTAATTAGCAGTAATAACAATGTTAAAATGCAAAGGGCCTCTAAATGCTAAGCAAACAAAATGTAAGGATGGATCTGAAGGTAAAAATAAATAACAATTTTATTTCCTTAAACTCACTCATCTATAATCGATTTAATTAATTTGGGGCCATTACCATAAAGCTTTAGAAAAGTATCATTCCCACAGAGAGGCAACTTTCTATAGAAGAAAATGCAGGGACTTTGAAGTCACACAGACCAAGGTTTAAAAACCTAACTCCAAGTTACACTGCCAAAGCCTAGACAAACCTTTACAAGGGGGGAACTAATCCCTTAGGGGGCTGAGTAATAAAAGAGCAAAAATACGCACGTTCCCTTGCAGAGTATCCCTCACACTGTACGAGCTCAAAAGGTCTTACTGTCAGTTTTCTCGTGGGTAAAACAGACAGAACGACAGCCGACTCAGGAGCATACAAAGAGAATTAAATCAACTTATGTAGTTTCCAAAACAGTGCTTAACACCCAGTAGATAATTTCTTTAAAAAAAAGATTAAAAACCAAGACTGAATCCGCATGCCCTGCCCCAGTCCCGATCCGGCCACTGAGTGTCTTATGCTAGAAATTCACAACCTACGCAGACCTCGGCTTCCCGTAAACCCGGGCGAGCCTGGACGCCCTCTAAGGTCCTCTGCGTCCCTAAGCGCGTCAGGCTCGGCTCTCAAGCGCTCGGCTCTGGGGTCTCACGCAGACCTACCTGTAAGTCCATGACGTCACCACAGTGCCGGGCGCCGCACAGCAGCTGATGGTCGCCGTCGAACCCTCCATCGGGGTCCAAGTTCCCCAAATCTCCGATAGACCACAGCAAGACACAGTTTTCCTGGAAAGCAGAAAGTTTTCTCTTGAGATGAAACACACGTTAAACTCTCGAAAGTTAAAATGTGTATTGCCGTCCGACAACCTCGCTCAGAATAACGGGGACGGTACGGGGCCAATCCGAACACAACGGGAATCGAGGCTCAGAAACACCGTCGGTGACTCTGGGGGGGACAAGGCAACCGAGGCCCAGATGGGGACTCGGGGGGACGGAGGACGGCGACAGGATCGAAAGGGCGAGAGAATTCGCGCGCGGGAGGCCGGGGCGCGGTTCCGGGAGGGTGGGAGGAGGCGGGGGCTCCCCGGCCCGGGAGTGGGGGGTACCTCATTGTCCCAAGAGCCCGTAGCGAAGGTCTCCGCGGTCTGCAAGCTCCCCGCAGGGACCGGTCGCCAGCGGGTTTTGTTGATTTTCTGAGACACAAACTTAGCATAAATTTCCTCCATGCCCGAATCGCCCGCGGCCGACACGGCGAGATGCGCAGCGCGCGCCTCTCGGCCCCGCCCCTTTCCGCCGAGCCCTGATTGGACGGACCCGACGCGGCCGACGGTGGCTGCGGAGGGCCAATTCTCCTCCGCGGCCAGCGCGGGCCGCCAAGCGCAGGAACTTCCCTTCCTCTCCGAAGAGTTTAGGAACAGAGGCAACAACAGCGTGCAGGTCCTTGTTCCGTACGCTCTGCCCCTAATCTGCAGAATCAGTATAGGAACACTGACACAACGCATTTGTGGAATAATTGTGCAATTTAAACAAATGCAAGAGCAAGATCAAAACAAAATCAATGTACGAGAAACCGCCTAGGAGCCACCACGCACTAGCGTTGTTTTGCATTTCGCGGCGCACAGAAGAGTCCCAACCTTTAAATTCTCACACCAGCTTTTTATTCTAAACTTCTCCCTCTTTGCCTCCCAAAGAAACCCTTTGCTTCAAAGCTGTCACCACACACTGTCCGAGCCTGGAGTGGGAATTCTGAAGACTCCAGTGCTGGTTTTCACGACCATTGCCTAGCTGTGTAACCTCCCTCAAGTCATTTATGCATATAATCAAGAATGAGTTTGATATGTAGCGTTGACAGCCCAGAAGTCCGTGCCGTAGGTTCTTTCTGTGCTTTTGATTACACCTTTAATGCCCTTATACTCCTCTGTCCTCAGAATCCTACCCTTCTTTTCAGGACCTGTCCCTTCCCATGTCTTTTCTTGATTAGATTAGCCCATGATCTAAATAAAAAGACCACTAATAGCACTTAAAATTTGCCCTCTGTTGCTAGTTTTCTTTTGATGCAGATCTCCAATTAGAATGTAGATCCTATTGCATACAAGAGGTATGACTTACTCTTTAAAAAAAAAAAAAAATCTCCTTGATACGAGACTCATAACGGTGCGCTGGCTGTCAGCTTTAGAGAGATATCAGGTCTTATAGAGGATTGAGGCTAGTTTTGTTTGTTTTGTTGTAAATAGAAGACCATCAGGAAGCTGCAGAGAGATTAAATGAATAGTCCCAAACTGACAATTTGGTTCCTAATGCAGAACACCGTTTCGAGTGTGGTTTCATTTATGGTCTTTGAATCCCAGAAAATAGGGAACGTGTATTTCGGGTTGGAAGTAGGCTGAGCGTCACGTACGACAAAATCTCGTGAGAATTAGAATTTGGATCTAGCTGCCGACGCAGTAGCATAGATGTCTTGACAGAGCTTTTTCTCCCTTAAAAGTTTATTGGGCTACATGATGACTGCATTCTGTCAGCCTCAGTTCCGATTAGGAATCGGCAAGTCGGGTGCGACAGGCTCGTTCCCTTTCGGCTTCTCATTGTCTTGCACAGCTGGCAGCTAAAAGGCTGGTGTGCAGTCTAACGGTGGAACCTGTGAGGCTTCATTTGCTGAAAATGCACACCTGCGTTGGGAGAATCACACGCTCGACGTAGGATACTGTATCGTTCACCATCTGCATTATTGTAACAAGTAAAGCGCCTCCCCCACCCCCGCCCCATATGTCATGTATTCTTCCACTCTCCGACTTTGTTCTTTATCGCTGAGAACAAACCAGGATCTCCGAAGTCTCTGCTAACCCAACACGGATGTACTCGTCGCAAAGCCAGAGGCTGGAAAACTCGGGGTCAAGGCGGCCTTTGCCCTCCCGAGCTTATAGGAAGATTATTCAGGCTCCGCCATAGGGAGCCCTGACTCTAACCGACCTAAATATAACGCCGCGGGGTTGGGTGAGGCAGCGCGGAGGAAGCCCACCATCTAACAAGCTGGACGGCTATAGGAGCAG